CTCCTGGACGCAGTGCGAGGTTTCCTGTATAGTAAAACGAATGTATCGTCCTCTCTCTCCCCGTTGACTTCGGAAAGGTAACATCGCTGCGTCCAAATTTAGTTTCGTTATGTTGAATTGATCTTGTGAAATTCGGTTTCGGCCCGTAGCGGTGTCTGAAGGGGGAAGAGTGCCCTCACGACGTGATCAAGGCTGGATCAAGTCGTGAGGTAAACTTTGTGTTGTAATTCAGGAAACGTAAGTAAGTGACTTACTGTTTGATGGTTTCCTTTCAATTATGAAAGCCGCGTGGCGTAAGATAATTTGGTTTTGTTTTGGGTTGTGTAAAACAGCAGATCGCCCCTCAGGCGTGTTTGTAACCTGTTTATGTTTCCTTGTGCCCTCAAGGCTTGCGTAAGTACATGTTTGTACTGGAGAAGTTGAATGACGCCATGAGGCGAGCCTGACTTGAGTTCTGTGCGGCTAGGCACAGTGTAGCTTTGTATTAATTATTATCACATGTTCTGACCAGTCCCTGCCCATCAGGCAGAGTCCACCTGTATACTTACGTTATCAATATATATTTATTTATATGTTTGGAAACGCCAGTTGTATTTATGTATACTTGTGCAGTGTGTTACCTACCAGTTTGGGCTAGCCGATCCGTCCAGCTTGGCCCATAGTGCCGACAGTGGTTTTCCTCTCCCGAGATCCCCTACTCGACCTTGGGGAGGCATAGTACATCACGTACAAGCAAGTCGTTTCTTATGAGCCTGTCCCTTACCCATTTGAGCAGGGGTTCACGGGTTTGAGTGGGTAGAAGAACGGGGTTCTTTACCCACAGGGTCAAGGGACACGGCTCAACTGATGGACAGTAATACTCATATGCCAAGAAATTTCCCACCTTACACCAACCAGGTGCTTTAAATAATTAGACAAAGTCTGAAATCCAGTTTAAATAAGAAAGCAATCATATCAGTTTGCTTAAGGCTTTGTAAACAACATGAATGTACTTGTGAACATTGATATTTACAAACGTCGGATAAAAAGTAGAGGCAACACCTCTATAGCTCTGAAATTACTTTATTACCTGAGGTAAACACATGTACATTACTTCAATATAATCGCCCCCCATGTGTACCACATTCTGCCAAATTTGTGGAAGGCATCATACACCATTAGTGTGCCCAATTCTGTTGATGTCCAGCAGTGATCACCGTACAGCATGAATAATCTCCTCTCTTTATGTTGTACTGTGTCCCTCGCAGTGGTTCTTTCGTTTTGGCAGAGATCATAATCGCATGGACTCATATCGGGTGAGTATGGCGGATGTTGCAGTATCTCCCATCGCCAGCAGCAAAGGGGATCCTTGACAGTGTCAGCAGTACGAGCCCTTGCATTGTCATGAATGATGATGGGGTTCAGTATGAGCCCTTGCATTGTCATGAATGATGATGGGGTTCAGTGCCAACAAGTGTCATCACTTTCTCCTGAGTGCTGGACGAAGATGATTACACAGGAAACTGCAGTAGTAGGCAGCGTTAACTGTCTGTCGTTGAGGTACAGTGTGGTGCAGTATCACTCCATCAATGTCATATGCCACAATGAACATTGCCTTCACATTACTCTGTGTAGGGCACAAGGATGCTTCCATTCATTTGACTGTCACTTCAAGTGCGGTTCGCATGAGCGAACCCAAGCTTCATCCAGAGTGACGATCCTTCCAAGGAAGTCGTCACCTTCCCTCTGGTACCGGTCCAACAAGTCCTGTGCAACTGCATAATGTTGCCATTGTTGCACCTCGGACATTGTATGGGGTACCCAATGAGCTGCAATTTTGCGGTATCCAAGAATATCGTGCAGAATGCGGAGCATGGTTTTTGACATATGCCTACCTCAGCAGCTAACTTCCGCGCAGCCCATCGATGATCGACATCCAGCAAAGAAGCAAGAAGCTGAGTTGTGTGGTTGTCAACATGGAGTCGTCCTGAATGGCATCCCTCCTTTCACGGAACAATTTCACCCATCGTGCCACTGTGCGATATGGCAAAGCAGCATCACCACATGCTTCTCGCAGTCCCCGATAACAGTTTTGTGCACTACGACCTCGTACAACTTAAATTTGTATCCAGGAGTGTTGTTCTTGTTTCGTAAACATGTTGTTAGGGTGCTTGAACTGGGCCCCTTCATTCAAGACGATGCACAATGCAACTCAATGAAACACAACCAGAGCCAGTCACTACACTACTGCAATTGAACTTCTGCTATCAGCTACAGACTGCACTAGTGCCACCTGACACACATCTTTCATGTTACAGCAGTGTTGCCACTACTTTTTATCCAACCCTTGTATACTGTAAATTTCCTACAGAATCTACAGGTGACGAACAAAAATATTGAAACACCTTGTGAAATGCATGCCTGAATTGAAGTGTTTATTTTAGCGACGTTTGTAGGTGATGCTGTCATATCTGCCCAATACCACTACCTGTACAACCTCTACAATAGGTTGCAAGCTTCATTTGTAATTGAGACAGTGTTCTGTGCAGTTTTTAGTGCATCATGCCAGAGCTAACAGAATTCGAACGTGGGCCAATTGTTGCGCCCTGTATGGTGGGTGCTTCCATAACGAAGGTAGCCGAAGTTTTTGGTGTTTCGCGAGGCACAGTATCCAAGCTTATGACCGCGTACAGGAGGACAGAAATGTGTGTTGAGTGATAGACACAGATAAACATTGCGTAGGATTGTGACGAAAAATAAGACTACAGCTGCAAAAGTGATCACTGAACTGAATGTCACGCTCACAAACCTTGTCCGCACCAAAACAGTACGAAGAGAACTCTGCAAGCAGGGTATTTATGGAAGAGCTGCAATTCCAAAGCCAGTCATCAGTGAACCAAATTCCCCCTAAGACGAGAGTGTGGTGCTGAATTCATAAAACTTGGACTACAGAGCAACGGAAGACAGTCATTTGGTCGGATGAATCCACCTTCACACTGTTTCCGACTAATGGCTGAGTTTACGTCTGGAGTACGCCATCCCAAGCTTAAGATCCAGATTGTTTGCTACCAAGAGTGAAACATGGCAGGGGTTTGATCATGGTATGGGCAGCCATATCGTGGTATTCTGTTGGACCCATCATTACCCTGCAAGGTCACGTCACTGCCAACGACTATGTGACCATTTTGGGTGACCAGGTCCATCCCATGGTGCAAACTTTGTTCCCCAATGGTGATGTCATTTACCAAGACAACAATGACCGTGTTCACACAGCTCACATCGTCCAGGACCGGTTTTCTGAGCACGAAGATGAAGTGTCACGTCTGCCACGGCCCCCACAATCACCAGATATCAATATTATTCAGCCTTTGTGGTCTGTTTTGGAGAGCAATCTGTGTGCACACTATCCACCTCCATCATCGTTAACAGATTTTGCCAATGTTTTGCAGGAAGATTGGTACAAGATTCCCTCACAAACCATACAGGACCTCTATTTATCTGTTCCAAGGAGACTGCAAGCCAGAGGTTGTCCTACACCATATTAGTCACAGTAATGTGTTTTTTGTTGGGTGTTTCCATATTTTTGTCCATCTCTAGTAGTTTCAAGTGGAATATCATGTGCTGCTTCCACACCCCTATACATGTAACTATTATCTGAACTGGGGGGGTGACTTCAGGCTCTCGTAAATACTTGCAAGATCAAGTAACAAGTGATTGGTGCTAGGAGGGTACATCAGAATACACCATGACTGCTTCTTTCCACAAATATTCAGTTTCATCAATAATGGTTATTACTGTCTGCACCCATTTCTACCAGCCTGGGTAATTTTACGAAACAGATTTCTGTACTGTTCTCTATCCTACAACAGACAGTCCCTGTGTATCTGTCCCCACTTATTCCTTCACCCTGTGCCCTCAATAATCATTTACTCACCACCATCACTTGCTATGCTTTCACCAGAATGCTATTGTCATCAATGCACAATATATGCAGATACCATCAAATCATTAGTTTGGAAGGGGGGACATGCACACATCCATATTTAACACAACAACGTTTCAAACACAAGCTGCAGAAAGAAGACAAAGCACACATTCTGTACTCCATACACTTTTTCCATAAGTCTCATGGTTCCTAAGATAACAGCAAATCAGACACTATTGATCACTTACGCACTCACTCATGGAGCTGAGCCCTTCTTGAGAAGCCACCAATTGTGCAGCTACTCAAGAACTTCCCAGCATATTATGGAACCCAAAGGTTTATTATCATGTTCACAAGAGCCCTCCAATGGCCCCTATCCAGAGCCAGATCAATCCAATCCATAGCAGCGCATCCTATCTCTCTAAGATTCATTTCAATATTGTCCACCCACCCATGTCTTGGTCTTCCTTAGTGGCCTCTTTCCTTCTGGCTTTCCCACCAATACCTTATATGCATTCCTTCTCCCCATTCATGCTACATGCCCTGTCCACCACATCCTCATTAACTTGATCTTTCTAATTATACTTGGAGAAGAGTACAAGTTATGAAGTTCCTCATTATGTAGTTTTCTCCAACCCAGACACTATAGATACATTTCCAGATTCATACATTTATCAACCAACATGCTCTCCCAACCAGGCCCAAACTTGAATTATACATACCTTTTTATTATTTGTGGATCTTTCTCCCTTCATTAACAAAGACAATCAGGAATACATTTCAGAGGTATTTCAAATCTTTAGATCATAGAACTTTTGCATAGAGAGCTGTATGTTAAAACTTATATAACTTAGCATATACATGCTTTTATGTGATACATCAAATTGTAATATTTAAAGCAGAAGAACCTTCAATCTCTTACAAGTCCTGTTTCCTTCATGGTTTCTTGAAATAACATAGCATTACAGAATTTCATTATACGATGGACTCAAAATTCAATCAATCAATTTTAAGTGCAGAATAACTAGCTTTTCTGTATTTCCCTTCATATAAACATCAACATCCATGCTCATGTATTACTTCTTTCCGTGCTGTAAACGTTAATTAAAAGTCCAATTCTCTGTTCATCCTCTTCAGACCAAATTTACGTTTTTTTTTTTATTTTTTTAACTGTATCAGTCAAGTACAGCAATAAGCCAAGTCCTACCATCCAGAATAACGGACAAAAAATAAAATAAGTGCAATGAAAATAAATGGCACACTGAAGAATAAAAAATCACACACAACACAGAAGGGCAAAAAGGCACTCACAGAATATATCAGGAACAACATATAAATGAAAATTTCAACTGCATAATATACTGTATTGAACACAGAAAGGAAGGAAAGCACTTGCAAAATGTGTTGGAAACATCATACAAATGTAAGTATCAAATGTACAATATATTAAATATGACAGGCATGTCCAACTTCAAACAGGTTGTGATCCAACTTTTTAGTGTCAAAACTGCCAGTGATCTACCACCCCCTCCTATCATCGTACCTTGCTTTAAGCAGAAATATTGGTAAAAATAACACGACACATGTTTGTTGTAAAAGCAACATACATTGAAAGTACAGACTTACCTTGTTCGTTAAGAACGGAAAAATTGGAAAGACTAATACATATTTTCCCTTCAAAATCTGAATATAATCATATAATATTACAAGTGAATTTACATGCTTTTCACGTATAATTTCCTTATAGGCCCATGAGATCGACCAAAAATTGTCCCGCAATTGACGTGTTGGACATGCCTGAAATATGACATGGATGGTGTTAAAAAGTCCAACTCACCAGCTTGCCTCACAGGCATGTCAACATCAGACAGCATTACAACTTGCAAGAGGGAAGGTGCAAAACCAATAATTTTGTGAATCTGGAAAGTAACATTAAAAAATATAAAAACAGATGAAGGAAATCAGATTACTGTGAAGCAATGTGGTGGAATAAACTAATTAATATTTCTAAGACAACTAACAGGTTTCTACATCTAAACTGCTTAAATTAGCCAGAACAAACTCACATGAAATGACATACTATTATGTTTCCAGAACCATTCACGCTCTTAAGTTAATTCATGAACAATTCACTGTAATTTATTAAATAATGGTTAACCTACAGTTTTATAGAACTAGTTAGTCTGACCATCATTATGGTTTCATCTTCTTTTCTCTCACTTCCATTCAATCTTGCCTTCTGAAAGGCTGGCCCCATCAGAATAATACTTAGAACAGTGTTTATGGTTTCACATCCCTCCTGAAATGTCTATGACAAAGTAAAATCCAGGTTTGCACAACTTTAGTTACAAGAAAGAAAAAAAAGGGGGGGGGGAACTGTGATGACAGGTTCAACACTTATATTAACAGAATAATTAATCTGTTAATGATATAATAGGAAGTTTGTACCAGGTTTCTGCCAAACAGACCAGCAAAATGACATTCTTCATCAAGGGTTGGCAATTATTTTTCTTCAAAGTTAGATGGAGCTATTCTGAAATGACCGAAGTCCACACGGCCGAAAGAGAAAAATTCAGTATTTCACACATTGCAGAAAGAGATATGAATTATTCATGCTCACTAAATATAATGAGCAGCTATAAATGTATATACAGATAACAGATACATGTAGATAGATTTACTTTGCTATTATGAATATGTTCAAATAATCTTGGGGAAAAAAATCTCGTACATTAGGAAAAACGTTTTGTTGAGATCGTGTGAGTTTCTTAAAGAGATAGCATCTATTTCTATTTAAAATACACAGACATATCATAATACATTGATGTGACATTAATAATAATTAATTTGGACATGGTATCTTGAACTGTGAGGATGTCACAAACCAACCTGGACTGAGTCCCACTCGACCCTTGTATCCAGCTGCAGGTACAGTAAATTACAGTAGTAAACAAGTCTATTACTATATCAAAACCTGAATTTCCAAAAACATCATAATATTTAACTCCTTTCATATAAATACACATGCCAACATACAAAACTGAGGTTTCTGTTTGTCCCCCACATATACTGTACTTCTCATGCTTTTTTTCACAATGTTTTTGGAAATACACACAAATAACCATTTTTCTTACAAAGTTCTTGCACACAACAAGGTTTTTGTTCATTGTAGCATGTTCGCTTATATTACCTTCTTCAAAATAGGTCTGCCTGTGAAACAACTTCCTTTACTAGGCACAGCAATAACTCAAATACAGACTGAACACATGGGCATAGCAGTGATGCTTTTTCACTCTAGACTGAAGGTGCCTGGTCTCAATCACACCAGCTATCCTGATATTTATCTGTGGTTTTCCTCAGTCTCTCCAGGTAAATGCTACAACAGTACCTTGACCAGGCCACAAATGCTTCCTTACAAATCCGTCCTAATTCATCTATCAACCTACCATCTGATACTATATAGTCTGGGTATTGATGGAATCATAAAATAACCCATGAAGGAAAATAATTCTAACATATTATTAATACGAAAAAAGTACTTGTTCTCAATATAGCAAAACTGCTTTTCATTTGCTCTCCTTCACCTAGTTATGCTGAGTTTGTTTTATACATGACTTTCTTGAGAGACAGTTTTTGTGGATAAATTCATCATCATCATCATCATTTGTAATCTGTCAAGACGACAGGTCCACAGTCTCTTCCAAAAGAATTCCTCCACTTAATGCGATCTAGAGCTTTCTCCTTCAAATGACAGTATCCTCGTCTGTCCCCAAGGTCATCCAGCATCTTCTTATGTCTTCTTCCTCGTCTTCTTGTCACTTCTATCCGCCCATCTATCTTTCCTTCGATAACTTCTTTTAGAAGGCAGTTTCTGCTTAAAACATGACGAATCCAATTAGCCTTCCGTTTTCTTATTTCGTGTAGGATATTCCTCTGATCACTGACTCTAATTAACACTTCTTCATTTCTCACATAATCGGTCCAACTGATCTTCTCCATCCTTCTCCAACACCACATTTCGAAACTTTCCAGATGTTTCTGATCTACTGCCCTAAGTGTCCATGTTTCAGCCCCATACAGAGCTATGCTCCAAATGTAGCATTTCACTAGTTTCTTCCTCAAATCTAAGTCCAATTTGCTTGTAAAAAGATTCTTCTTCTTGCTAAATGCAGCTTTTGCCATGGCAATCCTGGATTTAATTTCACTAGTACACCTTCCATCATCTGTTAACATATTCATACTGGTATTCATAAATTCATACTGGTAACGAAATAAGACACTCACTGCACAACATAACTAATGATATTTAACATACAGAAGGTCCAACTTTGTTTACATTTAGATCTTATTGCAACAGTTTTAATGAATAACAAAGCCAACTCTGAGTATCTGCGTTTTCTAAATGAAACTGTTTTTAAACCTTTCATTTACCCTTCTATCACCTGGATATTAAATGGAAATAAAATATGGAAAACTTTGCCTATGCCTACATTATGCTATCAACAGAGACAGATTGCAGTGTCACAAAAAAGGAGACACACACATAAAAACTATGGCAACAAAAGAAATCAATATAACAGTAGTAGTAGTAGTAGTAGTAGTAGTAGTAGTAGTAGTAGTAGTAGTAGTAGTAGTAGCAGCAGCAGCAGTAAGGGAGTAACACACAGAGACCACACATATATTTTTATTATTATTATTATTATTATTGGAGGGGAGACCCAAGACAGTGATTTGGTACACTTTCTACAGAGCACAAGATGACATCAAGTGCACACCTTTCCACAAAGGGTGAACACATTTGGATACTCTTTACTTTCCACACTTTGTGGTGTCAACTGTGCACCAACATTCCTGTAAGTGTATGTTACAGACTACAGACTGTTTCCCACTCTCACCCGTTCCGCATTTAGGGTGACATCTCCTGCACAGAATATTTCATTCCTCTCCCAATCTGGTGCCCGAAGTACCCAATTGTAAGCTTTCAGCAGGTGCTGATACCCAATGTCCTCAATGTGGATGCTCTACCTTGTCAATTCATATACCAGTTGTGACACAGTGAATATAGATATCTGAAGGGTTCTTTGGTGAATGTTACATTCACCACTTCCAGGGCTGTCGTATCATGATCAGAGAAGTGGCACCAGATGGAAATATATCAGTATAGGAGGGATCTTTACTTTTCAGAGTCTTGATCACGTCTTATGGATACTAATTCCAGATTATTTATATCACATATGGCCCTAATACTTTATGTTGCCTTAGTCTTTATACACATTTGGAAGGCTCCTCTGTTTGCTGGTGGATGTCTGGGTACTTGAAGAAATTAACTATTTTGTTCTTTGCTTGTTCCCATTTTATAACGTCTCTACCAACTTTTCTAAAAACCTTGTGAACATATGCACAATAAGCACTTGCTATTTATAAGTGTACTGCATAGCTGCTACAGAACAGTTAACAGCATAATCGAGCCTGTGTGGTGTATTTTGTTCCTAATGTGTTTCTGTATTTATTTCTTGGTACTTTCTGTACATCATGTATTGTACTCTTCGATCAAAAACCATTCTGAAATGAGCCATAGAGGGAAATTCTATGTGTACACTGAACTTCAGTCAAATCACGTTGTGAAGATTGAGTACACCATTTCTACTGAACATAGTAAACACGATAATTTCTATCAACTCAATGCATACAAAGGTCTGAATTACTTCCAATGTCCTTTGAATAATTAACACCAGATGTTTAAAATTCACATTTCTCAAATCATGCCACCAAAAACCCATTTCCATTAATCACGTGCAACAAAAAGGAAAAAACGAATTACAAAATATATCTCATAATAGATTAAGTAGTGTATTGAGCATAAAAAAAATAATTTAAATCTTGAAAAACGGAGTAACTTTGTTGTGACCGTCCTATGTAAATTGAATGGATATTTAAAAATACTGTGATAGTTTTCCACGTTACAGATATCAGTACGAAACGCAGTGTGGATAAAACCCTATTTCGGCTGCAGCAATTTGCGGGTATTATAAAATGTCTGATTCTCGCAAAAACTATTACAATGAAAAATTACGCTGAAAAAAAATTATGAGTCTAGGAATTTTCCTGGTTGTCATCCCTATGATGTTTCATGGCGAAGGTCATTAGAGCCACATGTCTAACATACCTGACTTAGTTGTTCTTCCGCTTGCTGTCGTTGGGTCGGATCAATTGTGGCTCGCAATACATCTGTCAACTTCCGAGTATCCATTTTATTGCACCTTCTGTGCTTATGAAGTAAATATTAACTAAATGTTGAAAGTATAGTTGAAAATTTAACCCGGCACATTCACCTCACTGCTCTATAGTCACGTGATTCATCAACATAACATGGCGGGCTTTAAAATGTGGCAAAATACTGCGTAACTAATCGATCATATTGAAAGTTGGGCCACACTTAACATTTAAAACAAGCGAGTAGCATACACAATTATGTTTTAAAATTGATGCAATAAACACTATATCAGTACGTATGGTTAACTAATTTAAAAATTGTTTGTTGTGGTGTCCACCGGTGTCGACTACTTAAGCCTAGTCCCATAGCCTTGTTGATAATACCAAAGTTTCTATACTGACTGTATTCAAAGTAGTCTGTCATAGAGCCGAGACGTTTCATAAACAAATTCGGCATGCATTGAAGAGAACTGTAATATCAGGACACGAGGGAAGTATGGCGAAACTCACTTGAAAGAAGAAAGTGTGATTATGATTTTATTATACAGTGAAGGGAAATCAGTATTTACATTTGCTTTGCCCGCACTACTCATACGTGCGTGGACATGTCGTAATTTTAGCGTCAATAATAATGACGCGAAACATTTTCTTTCGCGCAAGGTTAAGTCCTACGTTTCTCCAACTTCAACGTATACAACCGAAACAAAATTTAAGAATAAAAAGCAGTAAGTATATTAATTAGTTGAGAGGTTGTGTGAATATATTTACATATTTTCCCTTAGTACTTTTAGGGTTTTTTGCTGTGTGACCGGTGTAGGTTATACTCTTTTTTTTTTTTTTTTATCTGGGCGAAAAGGCCGCTGCAAGTTGTGAAGCTCCAATATTGATCAGAGATTATGGATAATATGAGTTGAAACAGTAGTATTTTGCAGTTTCTTGCATTCAATGATTGGAAATTTCTCATTTCACAATTATTGGGGCAGAGGTTGCCGCAAGTTCTCATAAACGGAATGTTTAGACAGATGATCTTCATTTATAGAATTACTGGCTGATGCAGTTTTGAATTGTTTTTCCGTATATGAAAGTGATAACGGTAATGCAAAATCTAAGTCACAAAATGGAGTCAAAAGTTCTTCCCATACCACGAATAAACACTAAATTAAAACTGAGTAACATATTCAAGAACCGTTGAAAGTTGTATGGTAGAAGGTGAAGGAGCAGACCAAACGTGTGTTGAACAATAGGAAATATAGTATATTGTTACTTCTATGAAATAGCCAAGTGTGGAGTTTCAGTCAGAGCGCTAAGAGGTGGATGTTCTCTTACCATTATGTGTTACTCAGACACAACACATTTCCTGAAGATGTTGTGAGGTACCTTAAAGCAAGGATCTCATGAAGAAAGACTGTGTCATTATAGTGGAGGGACCAGGGAATAGCCCTTATGGTAATACTTGTTATAAAACTGAGAAACATATACGTAGACAGTATTGCCAAGCATAATACTTAATACAGAAATTGAATTTGTGGTCTGTTTGTCACAAAAACAGATGAGCAGGAGAGTGAACAGTATAAATATGAGTATTAAACATGCATGTTTGAATTTAGACATGTCCTATATTATACTAGTATCTTCTGTAAACATTTCATGATATCTTATAAAAAATGTGAGATACAAATAGTCTGTTTCATGCATCATGTGTCTCCCTTAATTTCATACACACTCTGTCTGAAGGTTTTCTTGATGCAAATAATAGTGAAGGAATTATTTTTTATTGCTAGTGGGGTGGGACTAGGTCCCTTGTGCTGCATCCACTTCTGGCCTATTGTACCACCCCCAGATGATAGGTGAGGGCGATTGTGGAGCAGTTGGTGGAATGAAGATTGGCAAGGGAAACAGAAGTACTCTGAGAAAACCTTTCCCAGTACCACTTTGTCCACCACAAATCCCACTTGACCAGACCTGGGATCAAACCCATGCCACTGCGGTGGGAAGCCAGTGACTAACCGCTTGAGCTATGGTGCGGCCTAGTGAAGGAGTTACTTGAGGTCATAATGTGAAGCTGTTCACCCTGTTACCTCAGATGGCAGTGACCGGGATATAGGCTGGACTACTGAGGAATTAGGGTTTAATTCCTGGTAAAGGACAGAAGATTTTTCATGTCTCCATAACATCCAGCCCTGCTCTGGGGACCACCCAGCTTCCTATGCAGTGGGTACAGGAGGCTGTTTCTGGGGGGTTAAGATGGTAGGGGCATGAAGCTGACCACTTACACCTGTCTAGTGCTACAGTTAAGAATGCTGGAGTTAAACCTCTGCTTCTCCATAATAGCACTTCATTAATTGATTGAGCCCAGGGATAACTTTACCTGTCTTTTTTCTCTGTACATGGAAAGCAATAACAACACAATTCCTTGCTGTACAACTAAAAAATCTTGGTTGCAGATTTTATGTTGTACGAGTACATGTGAGTTTGATTATTTTTGTGTAGCAGACAAATTTTTCTATTCTGTTTCCTACCATGGACTTGTAGAACACCTAAAAACATTAGTAAAGTTTACTCCATACTCTTGGCAGTATGTTTGATAGAATGCTTGCAAGTATTTGTTCTGATATTTACAAGGAAAGCAGTTATATCCAGAGTACAGAATGAGTACTTCATCTAATGTTTTTTCCTGAAACTGATCATAGGTATGGACAAAGAAACTCCTCAAATATTTTAAAATTGAAACATTCGTAAAATTTAGCATTATAATAATGAAAGTACTAAAATATGTTTATACTTGGAACTGGACATGGAAGTAAAATATGTTTCTAGTTAAATTTTTGTTATTTTTACATTCCTTATACTTGAATTTCACTACGTCTGATGATCTGTGGTACCCCATATGTTGGGGGTTGAATTTTTCTTACTTAACTAATATGATCATGTTCTCAGGTCATACTGGAAGAGTGTTGTTGGACTGGAAATTCATGCCCAGATTACATCAACGTCCAAACTCTTTTCTCAAGCTGGGACTGAATTTGGTGTGCCAGTGAATGCAAATGTATCATTCTTTGATGCAGCTATCCCTGGCACTCTGCCTGTAAGAATATTTTCTTTTTAAAAATATCCAAGTTTTTGTGTAACTCTGTATATAGTGAAACGTATGTAAATTAAGGTAGACAGATAACTGGTAAACATGTTGGTCTCTCTAGAAATTGCCACATTTATTCTTATAATTTTCCAGCTTTCCACCATTAATTATATGAGGAAAATATTGTTTCTTTCCTTCTTTCATAATTTCACCAAAAGATGATTTCATATGCTGTATAGTTTGCCTAAGAAGGCATGCAGTTGCTTGAGGATACACCCTTACGGAAGATAAGTCTTGTGTATCAAGATCTCCAATATGACAGTTTTGGCTGTTGTCACATGCTGAAAATATAATGTAGTTACTTTCTAATAGCAACATAATCTGTGTTATTACCAGATTATGTCGCAACCTCAGAGATATTTTAAACACAGTATAGTTGGGTGTAAAGACAAACAAATCAAGCATCAAAATCGTGTTTGCACGCAACATGCCATGATGTGTATGAGTGACTATAGATGGGGTTTGGATTGGTAATGTAATTTATTGAACTCTTAACCTTTATCGGACAAACGTCATCATATGATGTCATTAAAAGTTAGGGCAGCTGGCCGAACGTCATCATATGATGTCGCGGATTCCACGCGTGTAAGGTTTTTTTTAATATTATATTAAAAATATAAATTGTTCTATTTACATGATTTTTGGTCACCACCTTTATAAGGAGACAGCCTTCGTTCCTGCATGATCTAATGTAATCTAGGGACGTCATATGACGTTAAAAGTAAGGACAAATTTAAGAACGACATCATATGATGTCGCGCATTCCACGCGTGTAAAGATTTTTTTAAAATTAAATTTAAAATATAAATTGTTCTTCTATTTACATAATTTTTGGTCACAACCTTTATAAGGTGACAGCCTTCCCTCCTGCGTGATCTAATGTAATCTACCGACGTCATATGGCCGAACGACCTCATATGATTTCGCGCATTGCACGCGTGTAAAGATTTTTTTAAAATTAAATTTTTGCTCTACTTACGTGATATATGTTCACCATCTTCATGAGGAAACAGCCTTCCCCCCTGCGTCATCTATGGTAATGTGGCCTTCGTATGGTACTGCCGAAAAAATTCCGAAATGCAGAGTCCGACGTCGCAGCTCACGCACTTCGTACGAACGCTAGACCGCTTCCCACGCGAAAAGCACACACGACACCTCAGTTGCGATTTAGAGGAAGCAGGCCAGTGATGTCGAGCTGCAGTGATATTTATCCCCGCAGCTACACCGGAATAATTATTCACACCTCTCCAGCCACACTGGTCTGGCGGTCCCCAAGTTGCCGACGAAGGTGATGACCCGTCGTCCGCGGAATCAGAATTCCAACTTTGCTCGCCCCTATCATAATCTGTGTCATTGAACAGCTCTTTCTCAATTTCAGGCATCAGAAGACCAACCTTCCACGCCACATTCAGAATCGGTTGAATAGCAGTCCGAATCTGTGTCATTGAACATCTGTTTCTCATTTCAGCATTTTCCATACGACGTCGTTGTGTATACGGATCTCTAGCAGTGCTAGCAGTGAATCTCTGTGCTTAGACCATGATAAGAAGCCATAAATCTTAACCTCGAGCCCACACATACAAAAATCTCATTCACGACTTCTCTGAACCCATTATCTGCTTCATGATGTCATGGGTGGCTAACCTTATATTGCGATGTTTCAAAATCGTTACAAACACAATGGTTTGACTGCAATGAATGAACGAATGACCGATCTGGCAACACCATATTCTGAGAATGTACTCCTGTGTCTTTCTAACATATTACACAGCGAGTGATTTCAGACGCGTACAGTCCTGCATACCGACATGTCCCATACGATAAATAAGCTACAACAAGAGATACCATTGAATGTGAAGTCGCCACAAGGACTTACACTGCTAAAACGCATGGTGCAGAAAATGTATTACACTGCTAGAACGCATGGTGCAGAAAATGTATGAATTTCGGGAAATTTTATTTTGGGAATCAGTGTAAAAATTTTTTACAGATATTAAAATCTGTAAATTAGAATATCTGATTCTATATTCTTTCTACATTAAAGGAGTGTTCATTTCGTTCGTTTATCATAGAAAACGTAGAAATCACACCATTTTTAGAAACATGCTTACAATTTCATTGCTCTAGAAGGGCGGGCATTTAAATAAACTCCGTCCAGCTGCCCCTACCGGAAATTAAATGGCCCGTCCGATAAAGGTTAAAGAATATAACTATAAGTAACTATAGTGCTGTCACTAATTCAGACACTGTGCATTTCACTACAGCACACACTAAGTCTTCTCAGTCTGCTCTATTTTCATCGATTGTCACCTGGTGACAGCTTTCAGTGCTGTAGCTTCATCAGGGTCCATGTTCACACCCTTACTGGTCAGCAGCTGTCTCACAGCTAACTAAACTGTAGACTTGTCCTGTTTATAACACCTCAGCATGGACTGCATGGAACACACATCTCCTAACAGTTCTTCTATTGTTGTGTAATGTGGATGTCACTCAGACTGCACAGAGAACATCATTCCCTAGCAACAGCCATTGTTTACAGTCAACAGGTCTACATGCTACAATACTTGCTTAATAATTGCAAATGCTGGCAGCAGGATTTGTAATGAGACAAACTACTTGATTTTAGCTGTTATAATGCTTATGTTATCTTTTCATGATACACGTGTGTTTACAACTTCATCAAAACCTCGAAAAAATGTCTTAATGTTGCCCCCTTTCATATGAAGTTTCTCGCAACTAGAGAGTGACCTGAGAGGATAGTTATGCTGGGTAGATCTAGTAACTCACATGGTTCTCTCTTTCATCCAGTTTTATATAATTGTATATTAGCATATTTTAATGACTACAGATATACAGAAGTGATACTTCTGCTCAAACAGGCCTGCTAATTTTGGAGACAGCTATTTTGGCTGTCTTGTTAGATGTGTACCAAATAAAAAATGTTTCAAACAAACATTATATAATTTAATGGGGCAGATATTTTTAAGATATGCACTTGAGATGGATGAAGTGAGTCAGTGTAGTGTATACTGTATTTACGCATGTATAGGCCGCACATTTTTTGCCAAAAATTCAAGAGGAAAACTGGGGTGCGGCTTATATTCGAAATCACACTTCATTTAAAAAAAAAATTATATTCATAATTAGTAATACAGGGTGTTCTACTCCTGAAATAATATTCCAAGATAATTATTTTTTCTATAGTTTCTGTCTGAAAATTGTGCTGCGGCCTATACATGCATAAATACGGTATGTGGTCAATGACTTGGATTTGATCCCCAGCAGATTAGGAATTTTTCTCTTTTACACCAACTCCACTCAGAGCATGATGTTGACCAGTCACCCATCTCTCATGCCAGGTGTAAGATATACAGAGCTATCTTTGCATCTCCTACTTGTCTTCATGTCGTTTAGGCAAAGGGAAAGTTTAACATTTTAATTCTATTATGGTACAATGAAGTGCTTTTGAAAAATGGTATGAATTTTTATTAAAATGGTAAGAGATCTGTATTATGCAATTTTTGATTCCTGTTTTTCTCAAGATTGGTTCTAGGAGTAGTATTTGGTAGTATAGTGCATTTCAGATCCAAGATTTTAGATTCTTGATCTCTATTACCCCCTTTGGGGGGGGGGGAACAGACATTTTCAAAGCTCTTTCTTACTGTCCCAGTCTTTGGTACATTCATCATCTTATCATCATATACAATGGAATGTGTGTTGAAAATTCAGTGGGAAGTCTTCATTTTTTATATAATCTTTTGTACTTTTACATTTCCTGTATTCCCTCTTAATCCCTTTTGTTTGTTATGTCAACATTCTTGTCCTTCTTCCTTCCTTCCTCTCCTGTGTATTAAAATAACTCATGTAAATGTCGTTCAGAACACACCTCGATAGGCCGCTTGCTTCAGTTCATCATATTTTTTGTATATGGTTCAAAACAGGGTGCACATTCTGTTAGATCAAGTTTTCATTTCACTTCCATGGATGTGACATGAGAATAACATACTGACAAAACAGAAAAGACTCCTGCATAGACTAGTTATATAATGAATAAGTAGCATGTAGATCACTGATAATTCTGTGTTTTCTAATTTGTATCCCTAGGTTGTTTAACTAGAAATGTTTGATATAACTGGGTGTAAACTATATTTTGCAGATGTTGAATCGAAGGTGTGTTGAGGCCGGAGTACTCACAGCTTTAGCACTCTCATGCAGGGTGAATCCCGTTTCCTTCTTTGATCGAAAACATTATTTCTACTCGGATCTCCCTGTAAGCATATATAATAACATCATTATTTTCATATGTTAAAGTGAGTCGACATTTATTTAATGCTTATCATTGCTATACATGAAATAAATGAATAACATAAAGGATATCCCTCTCTGAATGTTTCATATGCGAAATTGTTTGACATATTTGAATGAAATTTGGTATTGGAGATCTACACTAGAAGTTGTTTGGGAACTTTGCTGTGGTTTGTGCTGGTCAGATATAATCCCTACATTAGGCTTATTTGAATTTCAAAGCAGACTTTATTGACCTTGTAAAGACTGCCCATTGTATACTAAATTTTGTATAAAATATTACCTCAATAACTACAACTTTTATTTTAAGCATGTTTGAATGCAGTGAAATATAATAAAAATTAATTTCATGTCCTATGTAGTGAATAACTGCGCAACAGCGGATTTGTTACTGGAACCTAATGGAATGATCTGCTGGCATTCGCTTGTTTCCACATGAACACATTTCAAAAATTTCATGTCTCTAAATTGTTATATGCAAGAGACTTGGGTGTGAAGCTCTTATATAAGATTAAAAGAAAATCAAAATAATGTACCGAGGTGCACTCTTCACAAACTTAGTATAATCTCATAATCCCTGAAGCATGCAGTAATACTACACAGACCAACATCACCTCTTGCACATCTGTGAGGTGTTATTTTTCTTGTAAATGGGACAAAATATTGCCATCACTCTCATGTAGGGGCCAATGCTGGTTGCTGTTGATTTTCAGTAAGTTTATTTTTGTCATTGCATCACAGTTTATCAAGCATGTGTTTGCCATTCTGTCACTTGACTGAAAAACGTTGTGACATATATGGCATTTGGGAACAATTATTGTCTCATTGTCAGAAGCCACTTATCTTATT